GACTAATACAACGATATAGATAGATAGATAGATAGGATTCTAATACAACGACATAGATAGATAGATAGATAGATAGATAGATAGATTCTAATACAACGACATAGATAGATAGATAGATAGATAGATAGATAGATAGATAGATAGATTCTAATACAACGACATAGATAGATAGATAGATAGATAGATAGATAGATAGATAGATAGATAGATAGATAGATTCTAATACAACGACATAGATAGATAGATAGATAGATGGATTCTAATAGATAACGATAGATAGATTCTATAGATAGATGGATAGATAGATGGATAGATAGATAGATAGATAGATTCTAATACAACGACATAGATAGATAGATAGATAGATAGATAGATAGATAGATAGATAGATTCCAATACGACATAGATAGATAGATAGATAGATATATTCCAATACAACGACATAGATAGATAGATAGATAGATAGATAGATAGATAGATAGATAGATTCTAATACAACGACATAGATAGATAGATAGATAGATAGATAGATAGATAGATAGATAGATTCTAATACAACGACATAGATAGATAGATAGATAGATAGATAGATAGATTCTAATACAACGACATAGATAGATAGATAGATAGATAGATAGATAGATAGATAGATAGATAGATAGATGGATAGATAGATAGATCTCTTGTATTTGCCATCTGAAATCCTCTTCTCATGTATCTTTATTTTTAAAGTATATCTTTATCTATCTCCGTATTTCCTTTCTAGATCGAATCTATTGATCACTATATCTATCGATCTGACTCTATTTATATCTATATCAATATTCGTATTCGTCTGCCACTCGAACAGTCTTTTACTCTTTTTTTGTCTTTATCTACCTACCGACCAAACTGCAAAATTTTATGAATGATTCGAACGCATATCTTCATCTTTGTTGTTTCGATTCCAGCGTTGCAGTCGATGCACTTTCAGACCTTCTTAATTATCGACTGTACTGACGTTAAAAAAAAAAGACAATAAAATGAATTCGGTATTTTTTTCCCAATTGCTCTGTCGGTGGGGCTTGGAATATGTCGACTCTACCCAAAGGGATTCAAAGGAGACTGTGTCCGTCTTTTTGACTCCTGTAAAACAGATATATGTCTTCCTAGTTAACTAATGATCTACATCTACATTTTGACTACTGCAAACCGGGCCTATGTGTGACTTTTTGACTCGTATAAACCAGGCCTATATCTACCTATTAAACAAGTGTAAAGGGGATCTATATCTGCATTTTGAGTCAGGTAAACCAGGCCTATGCCTACCTATCTAACTACTGGTCACAGAATATATGGAGGAGGCTCGGTAGAGTAGTGGATAGCGGCTCAGATTGAGGAATTGGAAAGCCGAGTTCGAATTCGAGTCGAATCCGTTATATTCACCCACTAAAAATTATGAAAGTGGGAAAGGTATGAATCCTCCTCTTCCTCCTCCACCCACTCCAAGCTATGAGTAAATAGCAAGAGAGACTGGATGGCAACTGGTCTGACGCAGAAAGAAATAGCAAGCTCCTTCGGGGAAAATGTCTGCCTTGTTAGTCATGTTTCGTAAGATGGTACCTAACTGACTGAAACAGGATCTACATTTTGACTAGCGTAAAACGGGCTTATGTGTGACTTTTTAACCCGTGTAAAACAAACTTTTGTCTTCGCTTTTATTCTAATGTAAACCAGACCTATGTCTACTTTTTGACTCTAATATAAACCAGATTCTAAGTCTAGTATAAACCGGGCCTGTTACTGAGCTTTTTCTTCTCGTGCAAACTGGACCTACATATAACTTTTTGACTTTCGTGTAAACCAGACCTACTCTACAGTTAAAAGTTTAGCATCACATCCTAGCATTTCTTTTTAAAAAATGCCATAAAATATATATTTTTTTTAACTAAAAGACAAAATGTCAGTATTTAGACTGTATTTGCTTTTATTTTTTAATCTCTTTTCTGGATCTACTTACAACCAAAAATTCAAATTTGTATTCGTCTGTTGTTTTAATGAATTACGACTATTTTGTATGAGAAGCACTATATTTTGTTTTCACCATTAACCCCTTAGTAGATTTTTTGAGATCATCTAAATTTTTAAATAAGTTAAATGCTAATACAGGTTCTAAATGTTAACTCAAAATTGGCTGATGTTGTAAACAAAACGTGTTTTAGTTGTCTCTATTTGAAGAAAAACAGATTGTGCCATTATGGCAGTATTTTCTTTTCTGTTTTTAATTTTGAAGTAATTTGCACAAAATGATAAAATCAAAGGAGCGAAGCGTTGACAAATTAAAATTTTATTCAAAGATGGTTACACTAAAGGCAAATTGCCAAGACATTGAACATTTCTAGACATGGAGTGCAATATACGTTATAGACATTTAGAAACTTGTGCAAATGTTGACAAAAAAGAGCTGGGGCACCAAAAGTGGTAATTGCTGCTGATGATAAAAACTTGATTATTGAGAGCAAAAGAAATAGAAGGAAAACTTCTCCAGAGTTGACAGCTGAACTTAATTCCTCTCGGCAGCAATTACGATGAACTTAAAAAGCTATAGCGTTATATTTCAACCAAACATTTATTTCATCCAAGATAAAGTTTCTACTTTACCATATCTTTAATTTAACTTATCGACTTATTCGTGTCTGCCTTTAATGTTTATCAACACAATACAACAGAATGTTTTAATTTTTAACTCTTGCTAGCATTAAGTTCTTTGTTGCAATGATAAATAAATTCTTCTATCATTGAGTTATATTTAATTGCCAAATCATCATCTAATGGATTATTTTAATTAATCTCTTTAACTTTCTGTATATATGACTCTTTCTCTTTTTCTCAGGAGAAATTAAGGTGAATATGACTCAACAAGTGCTCATGTATAAAGATTGCTTCACGCATTGGAATTCTTTTGTCGTGAAAAAAAAATTAAAAATGTGGAATATTTTTTACGCTCAACTGACTATCTTGGTCAGTCAAGATTGGTTCAAAAATTATTTACCTTAACTTAATTCCTCTCGGCAGCAACCAGTGTCGCTTTCAACTGTGAAAAATCAGCTTAGATCAGCGGGTCTTAGGCAGTACATAGCCATCAAGAAACCCCTGTTACGGAAAGTGAATAAGCAGAAAAGACTGCTATGAGCAACAAACGTAAGAACTGGACATTGAATGAGTAACAAAATGCATTGTGGACAGACGAGTCCAAATTTGAACTTTTTAGTAGTGTATATGCGAAGGAAGGAAGAGTAAATGATGAATGTATAGTTCCAACAATTAAGCATGGTTGTGGATTTGTTATGGTATGGGGCTCTTTTGTGGGAGTGAGGATTGGATATTTGATTCAGGTCAAGCGAATTATTCGATTTTGTAAAGTCATACTATACAATCTAGTTTATGCATAATTGAAAAAGAATCACCTTTTGACGAGACAACGATTTAAAACACTATTCTAAGTTGTTTCAAAATTACCTAGAGTCAAAAAAAAAGAACAACATTTTGGAAATAATGCCTTGGCTGCCTCAATCTCCTGACCATTCTCCCGCTGAATTAATATGGAATGAATTGAATAGGAGAGTTCGAATAAAATAACCAAAGAAAGAAAGTGAGCTTTTTCAGTGCTTGAATAATACTTGGGAAGGTATGCCATAATTTATTTTTAAAAATGTTGCAAAGAATGCCAGGAATTTGTAAAGTAGTAATTAAAGCAGGTGGTGGTTTTATTGACGAAAACAAAATATGATGCTGTTTATGGTAATTTTTTATAGTTAAGTGCTTATATTTTTGTCAATATGAAAACACAACTGACATTTTATCTTTTACATTTTAAAAAATATAGAAAAATATCTCATTTTAAGGTAATTTTAAATGAAATGTAAGGTGGTCCGAAACTTTTTACTTGTAGTGTTTGTCCACCATTATGTGTCAAATATAAACCGAACTTATACCTAAGCAATTTTGTCTAGTGTAAATCGGAAATATTTCTAACTTTTGGACTCTAGTATAAGCGAAATTATATCTACCATTTTTACTTTAGTATAAACCGAACTTATGTCTAACATTTTGACTAGTATACACCGGACATTTTGACAGTCTTATCGAACCGATGTTTACATTTTTTACCTTTGTGTAAAACCGGATCTATGTTTTCCTACATATTATTTCATGTTGATTTTTGTGCTATCAGTATTATATTCGAATTAAATATCAAGGTTTTATATGTTGCTAAGTTAACCATTCTTTTTTAAAATATTTATTCTATAACTTAAATTTTATTTTAATGAATAATCATTTTTTGAGCAGATAACTAACTATACAGTTTATTTATTAAACTGTATAGTTAGTTATTTTCATCTAAATATTAGAGAAATCTTAAAAAATATATGCGCTCCTCGACTTCGTTTAAAAAACATTTTAAATTTTGCTTGACCATCGACGAGACGTCTAAAGGGGACGCAAGTTCGAATCCTGCCGGAGAGAACAGGTGCTCCTTAGGCTGCTATTTCTCCCTGCGGTAGACTGGTCTTCAACTACGGCGATTCACACCTTTCCAAAGAGTATCAGCGCGTAAGTGAATGTAACGAAACGGACTGGAATTCGAACTCGGCACTCCGATTTCTCAGTCCGAACCTATATTCATTACCCCACAACGCACATTCATGTTATAATAGTAATGTTCTTATTTACTCAGTTTCCTTCAGTCTGACTTAAGGTCACCAGCGTAGAGCATCTATTGAGCAGCACACGTATGGGAAATTGTATATTTACTCAGGCTAGATTAGGACAGGGTTAATTATGACAGAATAATGGTTTATATTAATCGTTTAGGGAAGGTGGGCTTGACTATAAAATCTGCATTCTATAGATCCGTCTTTTAATAGGATTCGATCTTCTTTCTCTGGCACAGCTTGGAAGATCTGCAATTATTTCCTTCACAAAACAGAACCACGGATGGGAAAAGTCATATCTGTTGCATGATTTGTACACGAAGTCTACCTATGAGTAAATGCTCGAGTTATTTATGGGGATTGCATATGGGGTATCGAGGGTGGGGTGACCTCTCAGATTGCATTGTGCATATCTTGGAATAAGTTTCAAATATCAATAAATGCAGTTGGTTTCTCCGCTTACATATTTCCAATCACTTCCGGCACACGACTTTTCTTCTTCCTTTTGAGGTTTGATTTCTTTTCTTCTCTTTCCTTATCGGTTTTTTTTACCCTTCATTTTTCATTTCCTTTTCTTTCTTTTTTTACTCTTATTAGTTTTCTATTCTCCTTTTCAACTTTCGTCTTCTTCATTTTAATTTTTTACACTTGTTTTCTTTCTTTAATTAATTTTTTCTTCATTTTCTTTATCAGACTTTTTTTTCTTCTCTCTCTTTCATTTACTTGTTTTTCATTCTTCTACTTTGGATTTTCTACGGGAATTTTATTCATCCCCCCACCCCTCCTCCTCCTCCTCCTCCTCCTCCTCCTCCTTCTTCTTCTTTTTCTTCTTCTTCTAGCTTCAGTTATTGTTTTAAAAGTTTTATATTTTTTTCTTTTTCTCCTCCTTCTGACTTAGAGTTTTCCTCACTTTCTTAATTTTCCTTTTATTCTATTTCAAACTAGCAGTAGAGTCCGGCGTTGCCCGGGGATGTAACAGTAAGAGATAAATCAAGTATCGACCATCATAAAGACTGAAAAATAAAATTGACAAAGATTATTGTTTAAGGTTGACGGACACGCGTGTCTTAATTAGTTGTTTTTTTTTTTTTTTGTTTTTTGTTTTGTTTTGTTTTTTACGAATTGGTCAAACTCAAACAAAAACATTGTTTTCAATCGTTATGAGTCTACTGATTGAATAAAATTTTATTATAAACAATTGTCTTGTAAATGGAATTTTTAAAGCATTCTGAATGTAAAAATAAAGAAAAAAGTGTGCAAGACAATAAGAAACACTACCTGACAAAAAAAAGGTGAAGTTTTGTTGAAATCGGTTAAAAAATGTAGAAAATCCGATCCCATATATAAACACACACACACACACGCACACACACACACACACACACACACACACACACAACCTGGGTTTTATAATAAGTATAACTCGATATGCCTCTTAATCGTGTTTTCAAATTGATTTCGTGCAAAAACAATTGTGTTTTCCAATTTTTGGCGTTGTCAGAACCACCGCAAGGTAATTTTACGTAGTCCTGTGACGTTTTGTTGAAATCGGTTGAAAAATGTAGGAAATCCGATCCAATATATAAACGAACAGACACACACACACAACAACCTGGGTTTTATAATAAGTATGATTCTCTTTTATTCTTTTTCACTTTCTCCTTTCTTCTTCTTTTTCACTCTTTCTTTTTTCTGCCACATCCTTCTTTTTTTTCTATTTTTATACTCATTTTTTTCTTTTGTTGATCTTTTTCTTTTCTTCTTTTTTTTTGTCATCCTTCCTTCTTTCTACTTTTCCATAGCTTTATTTTTTTTTGTTTCTTTATAAACTACAAAGCTTTCAATTTCTAATGTTTATCCTTATATTTTTCTGGGCCAGTTTGCGAGAATTGGTCACTTTTACTTTCACTTCCTATATTTGCTGCTTACATGTGTTTAACATTTTTTGCCGCCTAGAACTTTAATGGTTAACAAGGTAGGTGAACTGAGTTCGATCCTAATTTGATTCTCTATTTTTTACCTTACCAAATCTAAATTTAGTACTTAACTATACAGTTGGTTCTGAGGGTATTTTGTGGAATCACTAGCGTTCTTGAAGATTTCTATTATCAGCATCGTCATCATTATTATATAGTAAGAGAGCATTCATTCTTTTGTTTAATCAGTTAGCGCGTTTTGCGCCGCTGTAGACACCACTCCACCTATGTCTATTGTACTTGCGATTCACGGCAGTTCCTTTTGCACCGGGGATGTTCATGTGATCCTTCCTCTCAGATGTTCCTCCCCTGCCGGTAAAGCTCCTACGCGGTTGGCCGCTTTGCACAGGTCGGCTGGGAAGAGAGGTCCTCCTTCACCTGGTCGGAACGGGAAACCCTTCCGATTACCCTCACATAGTTTAGCCGGCAGGAGTGAGAGAGCAATATGCCAAAATAATGACGTTAGGGTACAAATATCCGAAACCCAAAACACACATCATGACGTCCTTATCTAAGTGTATACGAGGCACATCCATCACAACCAAATCTGCGCTATATTGCGATAGGTTTTGATAAAAGCAGCACGCAACTTTGCAATTGAAACTCAGTTAGAAAAACCTTCAGGTTGAGTAATGCAGTACGCTTAGACGGTCTCCGATTGAGGGTGTTCCCAAATATCTAGATGTGGCTCCTAAGTCTCATTGAATGCCTCATCTTTCAAAGTAAAAACCATCCTCTCGACACCAGGCAATGACACGCTTCCACTATTCCATATCTATCTATATATCTATCTATCTATCTATCTATCTATCTATCTATCTCATTTCTTTCATATCTATCTCTCTTTCTATCTATTACATTTCTTTCATATCTATATAAGGATTTTCATATCTATCTATTTATCTAAGGGTTTTCTTACCTATCTATCTAAATTCATTCATATCTATCTCAGTTCATTCATATCTATATATCCATCTCAGTTCATTCATATCCATCTGTCTCAATCCATTCATCTATCATCTATCTATCCATCTATTAGATTTCGTTTATATCTATCTATCTATCTATCTATCTATCTATCTATCTATCTATCACATTTCTTTCATGTCAATCTATCGACCACATTTCTTCCATTATCTATTTATCTATTTTATTTCCTTTATATCTATCTATCTATCTATCTATCTCCTCTCCTTTCTTCTTTTTACCTTTCTTTTTTTTCCATTTTTTAATTCCTTTTTCCTTTGGCTGTTTTCTTATTCTTCATGTTCTCCTTTTTTTGCAAATGGACTTCGTCATTTCCTCGACTCAAATTGCTCTGATACATACATAGGAACATGTGTCACGCAGTACAAATTGAACTCATCTCAGCAATTTAATTAAATACAATAATAACGGGCGCAAAACTAGCTTTTAAAATACTTTTTTTAATTGTTCGAACTTTCCTTCATTTTAGCATTTTTTCATTTTTTTCTTTCTCTTCTTCTCTATTTTCAACTCCCACGGGTGTGTATATGGCAGGCTACTCTATACGATATACGATCGAAGCACGTAGCTGACTGGTTAGACAGGGCAAAAATCAAATTGCTACAGCTTCAGTTAACAAAATATAAACGTTCCAAAGAATTCTTCTTTTATGTACCGTATCCCTTCAGGATGTAGGTGATCATGACCCTCCACATCTTCCTGCCCCCTGTAGCTCTTAATAAGTATTATTTCTCCCAAAACCTGCTCTACCATCCATTTACTCATGCTTATCAAGTATGTTACGCGCTGCTTTCCTTTGTCCCTCTTACCCTCAATCTGTCCTGTGAGTATCAGGTTTTCCAAGCCCTCCTTCCTCATTATGCACCCCAGAAATTTCAAATGTCTCTTCTTGATGTTAAGCATGAGTTTCCTTTTTGTTTTCATTTTCTCTAAAACTTTGTCGTTGGTCACATATTCGGTCCATGGTACTCTCAGCATCCTTCTGAAGAACCATATTTCTGTTGATTCATTTCCCTTCTTCATCTTTGAGGAGACTGTCCAGCACTTACTGCCATAGAAGAAGAGAGATAATGCTGTACCTTTATTTTAAGTCTTTTTTCTTCAACCAGACAAAATATTAACAATATTCATTATTAGCTAACTCTATCGACACTATACAAGAATGACGTCTGGTTCGGCGTATTCGGTGATCTCAGCGGAAAACTAATTAAAAAGAATAACGTGGACAAATATAATTCTAAATTTTGAAAACAGCTGATTTAGGGTTCAATTGCTATGTAATATGTAATCTTCAAAAACGACATTGAATGTTGAACAAACTCTTCACAGGTGAAGAAATGTCTTGAAGCGACCGATACAGGAAATTGTGGAGAGCCTTGAAGATGAGGAAATCAAACCAACGACTATTTCCATCAATATCCTGAAGAGATCAGTTCATCTATTAATACACACTATGTCTCTGACGATTCAAGACTAACAAGACAGACGTTTTTCGAAGCAATAGGCAACCGTTTCCTTCTGTTGTAGACTGGTTGCCAAACAAGGCAATAGGGCCCAGTCTCTGCTATTCAACCCATAGTTGGGAGGGAGAAGATCTGGATTCCTAACTTTCCCAAGGGTATTTGCGCGCAAGTGAATGTAACGAACCCGACTGGAATTCAAACTCGGCTCTCCTATTTCTTATATCGTGAGAAATCGGAGGATACCCGGCATCCAAAATGGAGATTTACTTTGAAATTCCTTAGAAATCCGAGGATACCCGGCATCCAAAATGGAGATTTACTTTGAAATTCCTTAGAAATCCGAGGATACCCGGCATCCAAAATGGAGATTTACTTTGAAATTCCTTAGAAATCCGAGGATACCCGGCATCCAAAATGGAGATTTACTTTGAAATTCACTTCCAGAAACTGAGGATACCCGGCATCCAAAATGGAGATTTACTTTGAAATTCCTTAGAAATTGGAGGATACCCGGCATCCAAAATGGAGATTTGTTTTGAAATTCCTTAGAAATCCGAGGATACCCGGCATCTAAAATGGAGATTTACTTTGAAATTCCTTAGAAATCGGAGGATACCCGGCATCTAAAATGGAGATTTACTTCGAAATTCCTTAGAAATCGGAGGATACCCGGCATCCAAAATGGACATTTACTTTGAAATTCCTTAGAAATATGGAGAAAAGCCACGTGCTAACTTATAAACTTACAAATTAAAGCAACAACTATTTTAATCTAAATGTTTTAAATTTATGAATTCAAACGTAGGTTTCAGTAATGACAATGCACATATACAGGGTGATTGCATGAATGTCTTGCATATATATATATATATTAAATATATTACTTAAATATTTATATCTATAAAAAAGAACATATAAACATAAAAATGCCTTTACATATATATATATATATATATATATATATCTGGCCACTCGTATTCGAGGATACCCATCTACTAGGACGGCTAGCCAATCCCTATTGCAGACGCTCGCTCAGGCGCTCATTTGTGTTTGCACAACACCCACAGACCCCACCTGTGATGTATAGTGCAACTATGCTAAGCAGACCTTAGTTACAGTTTCTGGGAAAGAGCGTGTTATCTAGCGTGGTCAACAATTTGAACAAGGTCAGCACGCTCAAGCCCTCGGCCACGATGACTTATGGCCTCGTCCTAGCACAGCTATCGACGAACCCCAAGAGTTCCGTCTATCCAATTTTATTTACAAGACCTGGGTCAACTCGTGGTATGGTTTTCAGTCACTTTCCATCGAGATCGACCTCGATCCAGTCCGATAGCATAAGGAAGTCTCCTTCCTGGTTAATCGACCATGATGAGATTCGGTAGTCTGTCTGTGGATGACATTATATATATATATATATATATATATATATATATATATATATATTGCAACAATATTGACAGATTGTAGGGTGGTTGCAAAAGATGGAAACCGTTATAAAAATATATTAGAACAAAATTATTGCTACTCGTTTTTCACAGCTTTGTAGAGAAACTATTGATGTATATAAAGAAATATTTTAGATTTGATGGGAAAATATTGTGAAACTCTAGTTCAAGTATTTCTTCATTCTTCTTAAGTTCATTGATTTTAAATGCCAACACTAGCCGGTTTATTTGTCATCGAGTTTTGTATGACACACCCAGTGAAGACGGAACTCACAGTCAATGGCCAGATAGACTAGCCTCGCCAACCATTACCCAAGGTCAAGTCGCCTCACCTGTTATAGAGTTTTTATATTATACATAAAAGGATTTAGGACAATGATTCTATAGTTCACATGAGACTTTTATCAGTTATATTAGTAAAAGGCGAGTCTAAAAGAATTAGAGTGGCAAATGCGTTTAAGATAATGGCATTTACGTTGCAATTATCTGTAGCGAAATTCTTCGGTGTGTGTATCCTTAGACGCACCCTCAATTTCATCCTCAGATGCTGACGGTCTCTCGGGACTTCGAATTTCTTGTACCAGATGTATTGTATAGATGGCGGCGATTTCCAGAAATATGTTCTGAAATGCCACTGCCCGGTTGTGACATAGAGAAAAAAAAACAAAGTTATATATTAGACAGAATGAAATTTAAAAGAAAGAAAGAAAGAAAGAAAGAAAGAAAGAAAGAAAGAAAGAAAGAAGGTACAAAAAAGAAAGAAATTAAATAGTGAACTGAGAGAAACTGAAAACCTACAAAGGAGGAAAAAAGAAAGAAACGAAAACATCAGCTTTAAAGAAAGAAAGAAAGAAAGAAAGAAAGAAAGAAGGTTAAATCGAAAACTGAAAGAAATTAATGAACTACAAAGAGACAACGAAATAAAAAGAAAAACACGAAAACATTTAAAGAAAGAAAGAAAGAAAGAAAGAAAGAAGTTAAATAGTTAACTGAAATAAATGGAAAACCTACAAACAAGGAAAAAAGAAAGGAAAAATAAAGAAACGAAAACGTCAGGATTAAAGAAAGAAAGAAAGAAAGAAAGAAAGAAGTTAAATAATGAACTGAAAGAAATTGAAAACCTACAAAGAAAGAAAAAAGAAAGAAACGATGACGTCAGGTTCAAAAGAAGAAAGAAAGACGTTAAATCGTAAACTAAAAGAAATTGATAAACTACAAAGAAAGAGACAAAGAAATGAAAAGAAAGACTCAAACACATCAGCTTTAAAGAAAGAAAGAAAGAAAGAAAGAAAGAAAGAAAGAAAGAAAAATAAAGAAAGAAAGAAAGAAAAAGCAGGCGCAGAATCGATATATAAACCGGGTCTGGATGGTTCAAATTTTAGTCAGCATTTCCTGATATTGCTGACCGATTTATTTCGAGCCGAAGTGAATTTCCTTCTTGGAGTGTTGTAGACCAAAATTCCTGCAAGTTCCAACACTCTGGAACCGAACTGGATTTTTATAACTGCATTAAGGTTTTTTGGGCGAACGAAACCAAACTGGAATAGAGAAACGGATTTTGTAAAGGTCACGGATTTAGCACCGATCAATTCACTTATGCATCCACATAGATGCGAATTCTGTTTTCCAACCACTATGTAAGGCTCCGTAATCATGCTCGCCTGGTGAATGGAGCTAAAACAATTCTTCAATCTACAGAATTACACACACATACACACATGCGCACACACACATGCGCACACACACACACACACACATGCGCACACACATTTTGTATTATTCTTTGCTCTATTTATAGGCTAAAACCGTTTATAGATATATTTCAATGCGCGTGAAACTGACAGTCACCATGCAGTGTTAATTATTATGTCCACACTAACTCTCTGTCCCCCTCTCGTGATATATATATATATATAGCATAATGAGAAGCCACGTATACTTTCTTAATATGTATATATAGAAAAAGTTTCAAATTAAAAATTATAATGTTTTATTTTATGAAAGTAATTATTTATTTATATATGTATTTGATATTTCAAATTGTCCTCAATTTTTCATCAGAAATAACTGTTTGTTACAAATAAATTAAAATTATTGTTTGTTAGCAAGTAGCGTCCTTAGCGAGACGCGGACGTCACGTGATATGGAACGTAACTGTTCGGATATTCCTAACTTAAATCTGTCATAAATATTTTTAAAAAAAATACTATATCTAAAAAAATTGCTTAACTATTGAAATATTTATAAAGATTTAAAACACCTAAGTTCCTATTCAACCCTAGTTTATGTGTATTTAATTTTAAAATCCAATATGTTTCTTTTTTTCTGCGTGTGAATGTGGAAGTAAAATCGGAATCTATTAATAAACATTTGCAGTTTTCTAATGTGTGTCCTGATTGATTGTAGTGTTTAGCTATGGGGGAATAAGGGTTGTTTTTTAGATATAGTAAAAAAAATTTTTTTAAATATTTATGACAGTTAGTTTTAAGTTAGAAATATCCGAACAGTGACGTTCCATATCACGTGACGTCCGCGTCTCGCGAAGGACGCTACTTGCTAACAAACAGTAATTTTAATTTATTTGTAACAAACAGTTATTTCTGATGAAAAATTGAGGACAATTTGAAATATCAAATACATATATAAATAAATAATTACTTTCATAAAATAAAACATTATAAAAACATTTATTAATTTTAATTTATTTGTAACAAACAGTTATTTCTGATGAAAAATTGAGGACAATTTGAAATATCAAATATATATATAAATAAATAAATACTTTCATAAAATAAAACATTATAATTTTTAATTTGAAACTTTATATATATATATATATATATATATATATATATATATATATATATATATATATATATATATATAGACAGCATATCTCATTCAAACAGGTTTCATTGAATAATATAGACATATTATGTCTATTTATTTTTATGATGATCCTTTCCAGTTGCCTTATCAGTTACTTAGTTTTTTTTCAATGTAATTATATACATATATTACTTATGATGCATTTCTTCTTGTCGGCACGGTACACAATATATATATATATATATATATATATATATATATATATATATATATATATATATATATATATATATACTCTCCCGTCGAATTCGACGTATGAGGGTCAAGCAGATCAGTTCCGGACAACAGCACATGAGATTTGATTATAGTGGTGAACGTTTTGGGCAGAACCATCCACACACTTTTTGAAGGGCCGAACACGGAGACCTGGTGCACGACCCTCCGCAGGTTTTGAATTCAGAGTTGTCCTTCTCCTAGTTAGTTGCCATCAAGGCTATAGAACCCAGTCTGTCCTGCTATTTACCCATAGCTGGAGAAGAAGAGGATTCACACCTTCACCAAGGGTATTAGCACGTAAGGAATGTAATGGATTCGACTGGAATTCGAACTCGGCTCTCCAATTCCTCAATCCGAGCTGCTATCCATTACTCCCCTCTCTCTCTCTCTCTCTCTCTCTCTCTCTATATATATATATATATATATATATATATATATATATATATATATATATATATATATATATATATATATATATATATATATATATATAAATAAATGGTAAATGGATATAAATCCGACAGAATGAAGAAAATTTGGAAAAAACAAACAAAAAATCCTTAAATGCATTTATGTTTAAAAATGAATGGAATGTCGACGTCTGACGTTTCAGTTATCTGTTTTGATAAAACTTGTTTTTATGTCCATCGTCTTTATGAAATCGAACTGAATTGTATTTTTAATGAATATTGTCTTGAAAAGGTTTATTAAACCGAAACGTCAGACGTCGACATTTCATTCATTTTAAACATAATTGCATTTAAGGATTTTTTTTTTTTTTTTTTCAAATTTTATTACATATATATATATATATATATATATATATATATATATATATATATATATATATATTCTGCAGTTTTCTCAATATTGTATTATGTCCCCCAATCGACAAAAAAAACGTGAGGGGTGTCCCTCGCAGGTGCGACGAATAAAGTACACGACAACGCCACCACTAATTTACGTTCATCACTCCATTTGACGAAAAGACAGAGATCGAGAAGAGAGAAGCCTGTCCGCCACCCCCAATACAATAAGAAAGAACATCACGGCTGGCCGAAACGAAACGATTATTTATCAACAAATTAGTTTGAAGAAATTTAAGTTTAACGGCTAACTAAAGGGAATAACCATCACAATGTATACAGCTGGAGGATGGGAAAAGGAAAAGGTTACCTGTAAAAAAAACTAGAATAAAATAAAATAAATAAGTGACTAAATAATTAAAAACAAAACAAAAAAATCAATTGAAGTGGAGAGTTCCATCTTTATTTTCGAATCCATGCTCTCTCTCTCTCTCTCTCTCTCTCTCTCTCTCTCTCTCTCTCTACTTTGTTGTTGTTCTCGGCAAAGTCGGATCCATTTTGGATTGCTTTATTTTTCTTATTCCCTGTCAGACTGAAACTTGTCATGGCTGTGATTAAGAGAGACTTGCATCGAATCCGCTACACCCTTACCTCCATCGATACGCACCTTGTTTTCAGGTCTTTCTTTCTGTACCCTTCCACTAACTCTTCGTATTTTGTTCTTTTCTTTTCGTTTGCTTCTTCTACGGTGTCCTCTCAAGCCACAATCAGTTCTAACATAATCATTTCTTTCGTTGACTTAGAGAATATGAGTTATATCTGCGCGTAGGTTTCTCTCTACTCTGTGATTTCAGTTCCAGACTCCCCAAACCCACCCTCATCTGCCAGCCTTCACCTGATGCATGCATATTGGGTGTTTCTTTTCGTTTTTCTGTTGGTTTCTTCTCTCCGGCTTTAATGAAATTTCTTGTGCATCTGTTCGGTTTTAGACTATTGGAGCGGATCGCGGTGTCAATTGCGCCTGCAATTGTGTCCTTAATATCTGGCCGTGGCGCCAGCGATAACGTCCGTCAGTCAAAGCTTTACCTGCACCTGCTTAGTATAAGCTGCAGTGACCCTCTATTTGAATATCGTGGGCAAGCTGGGAACTCCGTTTTATTCCAGGTATGGAGATTTGTGGGAAATACATCGTATACTGCCTGCACCAAGAACTTTAGTTGGTTATAATTGGTGTGCCATATATCTAGCCATTTTATTCTCCGCTTTGTCATTTCCTCCCACTTTGTTCAGGCCCCTTGTTGCCTTAACCCGACCATCTTAGTCATTCTTCTTTCTTTTGTTCATGAGCGAATTTCTTCTTGTATAAGAATGTGTCACCCCTTTCCTTTAATTGTTTCTATTCGTAGTCTGGGGACATAACTCAAACCTGCCCATCCTTTGGCAACTACACCTACAAAGGTTTTTTTCTTTTTTTTTTTTTTGTAATGCCAACGGATACGCGTTGTCCCTTTCGTAATGCTCATTGTAGTCTCATTGTAGTAGAGACTTTGTAATCGCAGATACAACTATAGTAATGCCGTGGAACAATACTGCTATCAGACGCCTTGATATATCACTCGCACTAAATAGTACTTGCTCGATGCGTGCCGTAGTCTATTCTGTTATATTGGCGGGGGACAGTTTTTAATTTATTTATTTGGATTTACTATTCTTGCTTTTTTTTACTTATTTATGCTTATTTTTATTTTTATTTACTTTATATAGCAGTTATAGCTATTTTTACGTCCAATTTTTAGATTGGTTGTTGTAGTCTATTCTAACGGTTATTTTGGCGGGATTGGTTTTTTAATTTGTTTATTATTATTTACTTTATTTATTTATTTAGGTCGATTATATTTAATTGTTTTTTATGCATTTTATTTTTATTTTTATTTATTCTATTTCGTCTATTCGCTCCTGGATCCTACTTTTATATGCGACTCCTGATGCAATAGTGGAAGAGAATAGGGTAAGGTCGGAGCCTTTCGTATTGTCTCGCTCCATTCGTCAAGGTTGTCCGCTTTCGCCTTTGCTTTACGTTCTTGCGTTGGAACCTTTCCTTCGCAAGTTAAAGACGAATCCGGTCCTGCGCGGAATTTCCCTACCTGGTGCTACCACCTCGACCAGGTATTCTGCCTATGCTGATGACGTTTCGGTTCTTGTGTCGGGCAGAGCCGAGATTGACGAAGTCAGCATAGAAATCAGTGGTTATGAGATGGTGACAGGGGCCAAGATCAACCGCGATAAGTCTGTTGGCTTGCGGTTGGGTGCGTGGAAGGGAGTTTCTTTTCCCGGACCTTTCCTCTGGACGGATGGACCGGTCAAGATACTCAGTGTCTGGTTCGGTCCTGATCTTCAGCTGGATATGAATTAGTCGGAGGGAAAGGGAATGCCGAGATCACAGTTAATCTGTGATCTCGGAGGAATCTTTCCTTGAAAAGAGTCGGGGCGGAAGTATGTGTTTCACATATCTACTCGATTCTCCTTTACCGACTCTATACTTCCGTATGCCACACTAATGTCATTAGTAAGGCTCTTGTTCTCTTTCTTGTGGAGAGACAAGACCGCTATGGTATCTCGGGATATCTGTTGCCTTCATCCATCTAAAGGCGGTCTAGGTATGCCTAGCATTGAGATTCGTCAATATATGCTTCGCATCGCCTTTCTAGACATAATGTGTCGCGAATCAGATGAGGAAGACGCCT